AGGATGAAGTGAGTACATGGCGAAAATGAAACTTCTTGCGAATGGGAGAACATCCATTTTGATACGAGGACAGCCTGCCTTCGTTTCCAGTTGATCCCAAGTGGTTAAGTTAAGAATGTTTTGTTCTTTTACGATTTGATAAAATACAGAGACTAAGAAATTAAATGCGACGAAATATTTTGACAACGTAATATGTATACTGTTTTATTCTTAAAGTACTATATGCGTAAACTTATTTTATCTGTTTCAAAATGATTCATTTTATTTTGCCTATATAAAAGAGATTGAAGAAGATAAAATAAACTGTTCCGTAATATATATTGTGTTTTGATAACCTTTTTTAGAATCACAATGTAAAATAAATCCCCCGTTCCTGCATGAAACTGGCCTTTTTCGGAGTAATGGGTTTCGGACAAGTGGGTTTCGGACAACTGGGTTTCGGACAACTGGGTTTCGGAGAACTGGGTTTCGGACAACTGGGTTTCGGACAACTGGGGTGCACCCAAAATAACACACATAAAAATGATGGCCATTTTTCAAAATGGTCGACTACTCCCCAAAGTTTAATTAGACAATGTGCCATGCTTAAAGTATTGTGGGAATTTTTAATTCCCCCTGAGTAGTACTAGGGCTTGTGAAACATTTATTTTACTGGATTTTATGTTATTTCATCTTTATTTCATGTTCCGTCCCTGTAATTTGGATGTTTACTTGATCAGCAAGCTGGGTTGGAATAAATTTGCATAATTAGGCACCCAGCAACAGAGCTCAACCAATCAGATGGCTTCATTTGAATTTCCCTCCAACATAAGTTATAGTTTTCCCATGATGCAACTTGAGATGTCTGGACTTTAGCGTGAGATCGTGACCTGTAAATCAGAGTAAACCAAGACTTTGCAGAGGAAACACCTCGTCAGTTTATATCGTTTTATGTGAGAGCGTGGTGGATTTGAATTGAGAACTATATTGGACAATCTACAGTTTATTTGGATTATTTGCTGCAGTTTTGCATTCGTTTTGCATTCGTTTTCGACTGTGCGAGATACAAGAAGATAACAGCCGGTTTTGGGTGAGTTGGCAATTTGATTATTGAGTTTGACGCCATATTGCTGTCCGCCATTTTGATTTCTTCTTCCCAGAATTCCTAGCGGTCGGCCATCTTTATTTTTACGGAAGTGACATCATTTTAAGAAGTAATTCCTCCTCCGAGTAATTAAGGCTCTTGTCTAATCTCAGTTTGATTGATATTCGAGAGTCGTGTCTGCTCTGAGTACTGTCAGCTCTGAGTGATTACTCCTCCAATTATTTAAGTGTTATATCTCCTTCGAGTTATATTTGGTCCGAGTAGTTACAGCTCTGTCTAATCTCCGTTGTGATTGATATTCGAGAGTTGTATCTGCTCCGAGGATTGCCAGCTCCGAGTGATTACTCCTCCATCTAGTTGAGAACCATACCTACTCCGAGGACTCACTGCTCCGAGTGCTTACTCCTCCATCTATTCTAGAGTGGAATCTGCTCCGAGGGTTGAGGATACAACTCCGTCTAATCTCAGTTTATGATCGATATTCGTGAGTTGCTTCTTCTCCTCCTCCGAGTTATTGATGATCCGAAATTGATACAAGTTGCTGAACTTGACGCATCCTCTGAGGTGATTTGACTCCTCCAGAAGTTAGATACTGAGGTTACACTACAGGAACCAAGATATTTCTGTGTTGCAAGGTTTACTCTCATTGGAGCCAAGGTTGCTCTACTGGAACTAAGGTACTCCACGATCGAGAAGTAGCAGCTCTGGTCTCTCACCATCTGATTGACATTCCAGAGGTGTTATTTCTCTGTAGAGGGTGAAGAGGTTTCTCCCGTGAAGTGGCGACTCCCTGAGCAGAGGATACTCCCGGAGTCTGGACCCCTTTCACGAGACAGTTTTATAGAGACGAGAAGACTCCTGGAGTGGAAGGTACTCCAATAGCTAGGGTCTTGTACAAAAGAAGAGGGTTCTCTTGTGAAGTGGCGACTCCCCGAGCAGAAGATACTCCCGGAGCCTGGACCCTTCCACGAGACAGTTTTATAGAGACAAAATAACTCCTTGAGCCAAGGTTACACTTCCGGAACCAAAACTCCTGGAGCCCTGATTCCTCCGAGGTGAGAAGACTCTGAGGGACATTGGTGTGTTTACTGGGAGCAGTCACATCCCAGGTCTTATCTCAGCGGAGCCCCGATTCCTCCGAGGTGAGACGACTCTGAGGGACAGCGCAGTGAAGATTATTTGGAGCATTTATAACTTGGGTCTAATCTCAGTTTTGATTGACATTCCTGAGTTATTCCTCCTCCATAGATATCACATTGAAGCCGTGATATAGACGAGACGATACCTAGAGCAGAAGGAATTCCCCCGAGGTTGAATTCCAGTTTAGAGGTGAAGAAAGCTGCAGAGGAGCAGATCCTCCTCAGGCCAATTTACCAGTTGGAGCAGAAGGACCTCCTAGAGGGTGAAGATAGTTCATAGGAGCAGATCCTCCTCCTCTTACAATTATTCAAGAAGGAACAATTACAGAGACATTCAAGCTCTATATAGACATTTTGAATTTATTTGTATTATTATTTTACATTGGAATAGAGTATAAAATCCCTGTATACCATTGTTATATTTCCATCTTTGAAAGGTAACTGCCGTACCACCAAACCAGGTCGGCACCCGTGTATAACACCTCCAAGATCCCTTATATCGTCCCTGGCCTTTCCTGAAGTTTGCATACAGGGTACTCCTGGGAATCGGCCCGGCGCGACAGTATTCACATATCAAATATGAGCAAAATCGCTCGAATATTTTTCGAGTTATAGTAAAAAAATGTAAAAATGACAGCCATTTTTTAAAATGGCCGCCAACTTGGTGAAGTGTCATGAGACAGTGTGCTAGGCTCATGAGTATTCACATATCAAATATGAACAAAATCGCTCCAATACTTTTCAAGTTATAGTAAAAAACGTAAAAATGGTAGCCATTTTGGCCGCCTACTACCCAAAGTGTCATTAGACAGTGTGCCATGCTTATAGTATTCACATATAAAATATCAACAAAATCGCTCTGCTACTTTTTGAGTTGTAGTAAAAAATGTAAAATAACACACGTAAAAATGGCGGCCATTTTTCAAAATGGCCACCTACTACCCAAAATGTCATTAGACATTGTCCCATGCTTAAAGCATTGACATACCAAATATGAACAAAATCGCTCCACTACTTCTTGACTTACAGTAAAAATGTTAGATAACACACGTAAAAATGGCGGCCATTTTTCAAAATGGCCACCTACTACCAAAAATGTCATTAGACATTGTTCCATGCTTAAAGTATTCACATACTAAATATGAACAAAATCGCTCCACTTATACTTTTCAAGTTACAGCAAAAATCGAAAAATGACGTGCAAAGGCAGCCATTTTTCAAGATGGCTGCCATGTATTTCTTCTATATTTACATTTCTAGCTTAATCAATGTCCTATATAACTTTTTTACATTTAAAACATATTGCTATTACAGTTTTATAAGCAGTACCTAAATTACTGTAAAATCGGCACTAAAATGGCCGCCATTTTGAAAATCGGTTTTCGAGCAGAACTTCTACCCCCATTGGGTATATGTGTACAAAATATGAACAAAATCGGGCCAACGGTATTTGAGTTATTGCCCGGACGGACGGACAGACGGATGGACGGACGGACGGACGGACGGACGGACGGACGGACGGATGGAGGCGTTCCCTATATCCCTCCGAACTTTGTTCGATGGGATAATAAATCAAGTTATACATATACATACAATCAATCAAATATCTGTATCTAAACATAACAAGAAGTTATTATATCACTGGACATTATGATCTAATTTACAGGTAATATATCACTTAAGATTTTCAACAATGTCTATCATCGCACCTCTTACAAGATAAGCCACTTCATATTTGACATATTACCTTCTTATTAGTCGAAGTATTTGATTATAACTTCTCATCATGTACTTTGTTTTTTATAATTGATGTGACTGAGGTAATTTCTCTATGGCACTTTTAGGTCAAAACATCAATGGTTCAATCTTTTTTCATAGAATTAATTCATAGAGGATCATCTTTATCTCCTATTATTCAAACCTCATCTACCATTTATTACTATTTAATATTGAAGCTCTTCTCCTCATTGAAGATTTCATTGTTTGTTTTATTTTAATAATGAAACTTGTTTTGCTTTTGTAAACAAACATTATAAGATGCATGAAAAAGTGACACATTGATTTTTGACCCAGCTGCAAGATGGACTTAAGATACTTTCCTCCAGTAATATTAAGTCAGATAAAAAATAAATGAAATATAATATACTGTATACATGTAGTTCTTTGGTTATATCTCAAAATATAAATCTGTTAATCTTAAGGGTAATGTTTACCTTTTTCTTAAAAAATTAAATTTGTTAGACTGGTATGTTTATTTTGTATGATTGATGTTATTGTACAATTGTAAGTTAATTTAAAAGGAAAATAAATGTTATTTAAAAAAAAACACATAAAAACCACCTTTTTCTTGATAATATAAATTTCATTTTTAAGAATCCAGTAAGAAGTCAACAGATACATGGTGGCATGGCCTTACTCGAGTAGCTGTAAATTCTAAATTAGCGATCCAGAAGATGTGAACCAATACACTGATCACTTTATGTATGTTTTGGAATTTTTGGTGAGGTAATAAGACCAAAACTTGCACTTCAAATTGTGATGTGGAAAAATGGCGGACATATGATTTCAAATTTTATGATTACGACATGACCAGTTGTTCATGCAGGAATATATCTTTACTGGAAGGCCACGATACGTGGCCACGATATAGTGGCCTTAGAAGAAGGTAAGCATGGCCCTTATTTATTTTTGATAGATTTTTCTTACAAATATTTGTGTGATATATTATTGGCATAAATAAGGGATATGTTCACATTATGTTCTATCATAATACATACCTCTGTCGGCTCAAATCGGTCCAGTTGAAGATATATCTCGGCACATAGTCTAATACAGGTGAGGTTGCACTTATAATCCACTTGTTAGATCTGCCACAGTCGTAATAGGGGGCGGTGTATTTTACAGGAAGATGTTCTATCTCACGCTGACCTGGTGATGAGGGTCCGAAAAATGCTCTGCCCTCGTAACCTTCTTTATTGATGAATTCTCCTGTTTGGTTGGAGAAATGAACTGCAACATCATATGTATGTTTTCTTAAAGAGTCTAAACTACTGTCTGCATCTGGCATCCACATGTTGTACCATTCGTTAAGTTTGTAGTCAGAATTTGAGTAATTTGAGCCTTGCCCTGCGCCATAATCTTCGATATTAATTGTATAATTTGTTGGTTCACGTAGCCAATTAGTTGGCTCGTTGTAATCATCAAACCGCCAAGCTCGGGCACCAAATAACGGCAATGTGTGATTGAACTCAAGATTTGTATACCAATTGGCGTATGTATAGTGATTGTCCCACATGATGGCAGAGCCGTTGATACACCCAGGATTCGCAGCAACATCTGCCTCAGCACTCATATAGTAGTACATCAAACCAGGTTGCATATGAAATTCAGTTTTAGTTTCGTTCAGAGCTTGGTTCATGTAACTGTAGAAATAGGCACGGTTGAGCGCCATGTTATGTAAATGGAGCAAACATGTTCTGTTCGGGTAGATTAGCTGACTCAAAAGTTTATTTGACACTGGTTTTTGAGCAACTGAGTCTGGATTCAACATGAGCTCTGCTACAGGCTTTGCTCGACAGTTTTCAGGAGTAATAGCATCCATCCTATCATTTATTTCATCAAAAGCGTCATAAGTCATCCAATCGTAAGCTCCTTGGCCGATAACTGCTCCAAGGAGGCAAAATAGACACACCAGTGTGTTCAGTTTTATAGTCTCCATGTTTATATTAGTTCCAGTATCACCAATTCATTGGGATGTTCCACTTATACTCTATTTTTATATTAAAAAGTTACAAAACTATTTCACTTCCTACCGTGTTTTCCAAGATGGCGGTTTTTCAATACACCTTTGAAAAAGTAGGTCACATTTTTGCATTTGTGTACAGGTGAGTCAGATATGAATCAGACTGTCTCGTGCTGCCATCTTTCAAACATAAAATATTTCATGAAACTCAAGACAGTTTAGTGCTGCCATCTATGATTAGGAAGAAAAATATTTTATTCAGAAATTTCAAGAAATCATCTGATCATACATGTTGATAATAATATAAAATGGAATTAATCATGATTATGCTGTTCTGGCAATAATGAATTTTTGTATTCTCATGCAATTTTTTGCATGCTTGCCTTTTCATTTAATGTCCATTTCTTTCTTGCAAATACTTCATTTGTAGGAATTTTAAAGAGATGGTCAACTTGTTGCAACTAGGCTAAATGTTGTCATGTAAAAGTAAAATAGTTTTTGTCATTGTCATGGTCCGTTTAATTACAGGTGTAGTATAGACCCTTGATAAATGAGGCATTGTACCCGATGAACGACGAGATGCAGATGAGAATTTAAAAATTCACCAGGGAAAGATTGACCCAATAACAATCTTAAAATCGCTTCTCATTGCACTAATTTTTAAGACGGGTGCACAATCTGGCAAAGGCCCAATGGCCATTTATACAAATAGGCCCAAATGAAAGGGGATTCGCTTTCTAAAACTTTTCAGAGAGGTTCACATATGACAATTCGGATAGCTTCACATTTGACAATTGTAGCCCAAATCATTCAAAGTCCCGGCCAAAAATAGGTGAAAATAATTTTGGACTCACACCCTCCCGACGTCCATCGCTCCTCTGGTTACGGGCCTGTTGGCGTGAGCATCTTTGAAATGAGCAAGAAACAAAGTGTGAAGTCATACGAGTCCCGGTGCAGTGACAATTAACTTGTTAAATAATATGCGGGTGTCATAAAAAATCTTAGAAATCGATCAAATACATAATAATGTCAGTCTCCGGGGATTTCATTTTTTAAATTTTAGAATTAAATCAATGATTATTTCTACTGGAAACTATAAACATGAAATATGATTTCTTTTCAAAAACGTATAAATGTATTCACTACTTTTTTATAAAAAAAAGATCAATAGTGAATACGGCAAATATACAATTTGTACAATTTCAAGAGTATGTATTACCGGTTATTGCGTTATGCACTTGGAGGTTTTGGATACAGGGTTTATCTCGAAGGAAATATGTGTATCTCTCCAGTCTCGAGGCACTCATGGATATACACATATTTCCCAAAGGATAAACTCTGTATCCAAAAGTGAAAACCGACTGTGCATAACAGAATATCAGATCATGTATCCCATACCTACCTACCCTACCTATTTCCATTCGTTCGACTATGGTTCTCAAAAGAGAGCTTTAGGTTGAAATATTAAGTGTGGCGGACCCTCTCCCAAAAAGTTATTTTTTCATCTTAAATTGGCATATGTTTTTTTAATGACTTGAGTCCTCTTGGAACATTTGGAAAATTTGCCTTATTTGGAAAAATGTGTCTTTCAAGTGTTCTTTAATTCCTCGCTGAAATGAATTCCATCGTATTGTTTTCAGGGTTTGTTTCCCCTCCACCAAGAGGAGGGAATGAGCTTTAGCGATGACTGACAAAATACGTCTCTTGCGTACCACCTTCGTTTGCGCAAATTCTCACCAGTTAATTTTCTAGCATAGCGCGTCGTCGTGAGGTTTAATCCACTGGTGATCCACTCGATTACGCGAACCGTTTTGGTAACAAAATCTCGGAACGTCGAAGGTACGATTTTTCTTTTTTCCTTATTATTTTTTTTTTTTAAGGTTTTTTTTATTTCCATATTTAAGACATATATAAACATACAATAATACAATAATACATGAATATGGAGAAACAAGCCTACGTTTGCACATTATTGGCTTGTGAAAATACATTTTATACAGCGGATATTTACACATACAATAGTAGTGTCATAATTTACATAAATGCAGTGTTCAGATGGGATGAAGATGAGTGATGATGATATGAAATTTGGCAAGGTACAGTAGCTATGGCACTTCACAATATTTTGTTAATAAAATCTGATGATAGATTTATAAGTGTTGAGTTAAGCTTCGGTGATAGTTCTTTATCACCAAATAAAATCATATCAACCTTGTCATATTTACGTTTACTGGAGAAAAGTTTGAGGTCAGGGTCAGCTTGCTGGGAGAAACTTAGGAGATTCACGCGTTGTAGGCAGAATCCTCACGACGTTTTTTCTCACAAACGTATATCAGTACCATATGTTTTAGAAAATGTTCATGTTTGCGAAAAATAGCTCAGAAGACAACAGAATCGTCGATTTAATTCCTCACTTAAGTTACATAAACGGTTTTGGTTAAAAGTGCAGATCTTAACTGTTTTTCGAAAAACCGTTTATGTAACTTAAGTGAAGGATTAAATCGACGATTCTGTTGTTTGCTGAACTATTTGTTCGTACATATGTACATTTTCTTAAACATATGATATTTTATTTTGAATCCGCTATTTTTGTTTATCGATTTGGACCAATCAGAGGTGTATATCATCTCAATACAGGTTTACATAAGCGTATGTCATCTTTGAACTCTGGGGTAATCCCCCTCTTCCCTCCACCGTCTGTTACTTTCCATGTGCATCTCTGAGGGGCTCCTGGATGTAAGTATTTGTTCGTCCGTTTGTTTGTTTGCTTGTTTGTATCATTCGATCGTTTGTTATGGTATATATGTATATTTTATTACCGATCGGGTCGGATTTCATATCAACAATTAAGCCTACGTCACGTTATATATTCGGTATAATAATTCATGTTCTTTCAAATTCCTGCATGCATTTTCACGCTATCAAGTCATGGAAAATCAAAAGAAATTTGAGCATATTAACATTGAGGTATGTTAATCTCCAATCGGAAACAGGGGAAGTCATGGAAACCACTCTGGACAACCCCACCCATTTTGTTTATTCGGAGACAACGGCCCCTCATCCTTCAGGTATAAAATGCCTCAATGAACAATTCTTCGGATTATAAATCAGCGGTTTTTGCAAGTAGTTCCTCCGTCGGATTGATTTGGTATGTTGAAAGTTGTCAAAATGTTCCATCAAGTTATTTCACCCATCACGGCAATTAAATAAATCTAACAAGCTTCCATCGTCTGCTACTAATATCCCGTTGAACCTTTTCGCCATCTGACGGCATTTACATTATTGAAGAGGGGCGCTGTTTTATAACGGGAAGAGCCGATCAAGTTTTATTAAAGTGTTCTAAATGCTATTTTCATCAAAAATATGAACTTTTGTAACATTTTCAGTTAAATTGTGGTGAAAACAGGGAAAAACTGTTATAGTGAGATGACTTTATTAAGCCTAAAATTCACCCTTTCATCTGCAGAAGGCATTATCGATGAAAAAATGCATAAATACAATTGCGTGCTCAATAATATGAGTTTGTCCTTGTACTGACGTCAATACGAAGCTGTGGTGAAGCCCTTTGGCAAGTGTTAGCTCTTCTATTCTCTCCCTCTGAAATATTCTGTTTTCGATTTTTAAGAGCCTTGTATTGAATGGTTTTTATCAATACTCATGTATAAAATGGTAAGAACTCATTTAACTTCAAAAATGAATTTTATTTTAGAATATAATCAGAGATTCGTTTGAAATCTTTATTTATTTGAAAAATGTAATAAAGGGAGGCGAATATAAGCGCTAATTGAAAAGGCAGATTTGTAAAGAATGCCTCTGACGCCTCACAACGTAAAATTTGTCTACATCCGCAAAGTGGACAAATTGGAAAATGTAATCCCGTGATTTATACTAATCATTAGCGTGTGTTGATTTTCGCTAATATAACAGAATGAAACCTCCACTTATGTGAACTGTAACAGATAAGAGTTGGCATCAATAATAAAAATTCTTTGAAGCGCTTTTTTAAAATTCTTATTTTCGCGTATTGATTTTGCAATGCATCCCTCTAATATTCCCGCTATTGAAGTGCTCCAAATAATAGCATAGTGTATAAATGATAAGACCATGCTGCCATCAAGCTAAGTTTCTTATGCTTTAGAACCAGAACCTATCTTCAACACACGTGTGAAAAATTCAACAAAGATCGCAGATATTGGAGGGATGCCGAGGAAACTCACCCGGGGGTTCAGGGAAGTGACGACAGACTTTTTACCCTGGGTGTGAACACTGCAGAATGTCGACGCATCAAACGAAAGAGGAACAAAAAAACGATAGAAAAAGGTGATCTGACAGCGAAGTACAGTGAGTATCCTGTCGGTAAGAATCTTTACTAATGGACTATGACTTCTGACAGTAATTCTGGTAATATTGTGATGAGTAACAAGCTAAAATCGGCTAATCAAAGCCCAGAAACGAACAACACAATGGAAAACTTTCAAGATGGAGGACAAAACATGAACTCCGATCAAAATCGAGCAGATTTCAATCCCAATATTGAAGGCCCTCGTATGAATTCGAACATGAATAGTTTCCCTCAGGGTGGTGGGGATCAACGAATGGGGGATGGAACTATGAACAGGATGAATGATAATACGCCAAATGCTCAAATGCAGGGTTATAATGGTGGTTATAACCAGGGGAACTTCAACATGGGAGATCAACATGGCGGTCCAGGAAGTGACTATGGGCCACAGAATAATCAGTACAATCAGTACAACCAGCAGAATATGAGGCCTGGGTATCCTCAGGGTCCAGGTCAACCATCCATGCCACCCCGCCCAGGCATGGGTAATCAAAATATGGGAGCAGTGCCCCCATTCAACAGCCAGCAGCAGCAACAGCAGCGGTTCATGTCTATGTCTGGCGCAAGCATTCAGCAACAAAGTGGCCCAACACCGACCCTGAATAAGCTCCTTACGGACAATGGTACGGGTCAGCCACAGCCACGTCAAAATGAAATGACAAATATGCCTTACAGCTCAATGCAACAGCAGCAGCAAAATTGGGGAGGACAGCGTAGCTCAATGAACAATCCATATCAACAACAAATGCAAGGTGTACGACATCAGGTGAGTGAACCAAACAATAATCAGAAGTCAGTCGTGTACGCAGTAGATTTTTTGTAATATTCTCGTTTACCATAGGCTTTATTTTCAGGTATATTGAAGGTTGTGTAATGAAAGATGGAATAGGCCACACTCATAGGCATCATTCCTTTGTCTTGAATGATTCACATATAACCATCACCAATAATGTATAATTTATTTAGATACAAAATAGATATAACTTATTGAAATGAAATGTGTTTGTTTTGGTTGAACACATGTGCTCACTGTTCAAAGTTACTTGATAGCATTTTAAATTTGGAGGCAAAATTGGATTGTGAAAGGACAGCTGGCGGATTTGCTAAATGCCATTCATTGATTGGTTAGAATTCTTTGTCATACACACAATTAATCATCTGCATTATTCCCAGTTAACATTTAACAAAGCCAATATATTACTTGGAATTTTTACTTTTCCCATATTATGTAACAGGCTCATTTGCAGCCAAAATATACTATTGTACAGTAATTTTTGGGTTATTATTGAGATTAAATTCTCTGGCATCAATACTGAGGTGTACTTATTGATCTTTCGACATGTACAGTTAACCCATTTATCTATCAAAACATACAATATTGCTTGATGGAATTAATGATTCAGAAGGTTCAGCTATAAAGGGTTAGGTAACTTAGCCATGTGCTTTTGTTTATTTATTCCCTAAAGTGTAATATGTCATCTGTTCATTGGTGTTTTATAATTACAATGTTGCTATGGTTACAAGTATGAAACTGACAAGTAGAGAGTTTATTATTATCTATTACAGATGGAGTTATTGCGTTCTTATTTTATTTACTGGAATTTTGCTTGTTAACCATTTCAATGAAGAGAATTATTATCAATGATGGAAAACGAGTAAACATTTTGAAGTGAAGAAATAATTCAAAATTTGGGATAATGTTTTTTTTACATTTGTCAATTTTACATTAACTTAACTCTTTCACATTGCATTTAGTCTTCAATTACTTTTATTCAAAACTAGGAAAGATGATAACTATATCTGATTGTTGTTGTTGTTTTTGCATTGTTCAACACCTGATGGTTGTTCAACATCTATTCTCTATTGGTTTTTCTGCATCTTAACTGTTATTCATCACCTAATGGTTGTCCTACATCTATACTTGAAAGCTCATGGTTGTTCATTCAATATCTTTTGGTTGTGTCACATCTATCTTGATTGTTGTTCAACATTTATTGGTTTTTCTGCATCTTAGCTGTTATTCATTACCTAATGGTTGTCCTTCATCTGTAGTTGAAAGCCCATGGTTGTTCGTTCAACATCTTTTGGTTGTGTCACATCTATCTTGATTGTTGTTCAACATTTATTGGTTTTTCTGCATCTTAACTGTTATTCATTACCTAATGGTTGTCCTACATCTATACTTGAAAGCCCATGGTTGTTCATTCAACATCTTTTGGTTGTCCCACATCTATCTTGATTGTTGTTCAACATCTATTGGTTTTTCTGCATCTTAACTGTTATTCATTACCTAATGGTTGTCCTACATCTATAGTTGAAAGCCCATGGTTGTTCGTTCAACATCTTTTGGTTGTGTCACATCTATCTTGATTGTTGTTCAACATCTATTGGTTTTTCTGCATCTTAACTGTTATTCATTACCTAATGGTTGTCCTACATCTATACTTGAAAGCCCATGGTTGTTCGTTCAACATCTTTTGGTTGTCCCACATCTATCTTGATTGTTGTTCAACATCTATTGGTTTTTCTGCATCTTAACTGTTATTCATTACCTAATGGTTGTCCTACATCTATAGTTGAAAGCCCATGGTTGTTCGTTCAACATCGTTTGGTTGTCCCACATCTATCTTGATTGTTGACCAACACCTATTGGTTGTTGTGCATCTTAATTTTTATTCAACCCCTCATAGTTATTCAATATGTATTAGTTATCCAGGGCTTTCAGAAACGCGTCCTTAACATTTAAGGATGCGTTTTAACGTCCTTAAAGTTTCTTTTCTAGAAGTTGATTTCCGAACGAATTATTTCGAGGCCTGTGATAGGACAATCACTTTAAGTCGTTGCTACGATACCCAGCGGTAATCGGTATGAGTCCTATGATTGGCCACGATTGTTGATCGCGTTGCATCTTATTAATTTCAACTAATCAAGTTACTGGATTTGTTACGCATGCTCATAAAACAGGTGTAATAAATGGAACCTCACAGATATTGCCCCCAGTGAAAATTGCTTCTAGATGCGAAAAGAAAATGCGTATTAATGGTTGACTATTAGTTATCTCTTTCAAGTGAAGGTACCAATATCATTTAGTGACCTTCTAGACATGTAGAATGCTGATTTAGGCCGATATTACTTTTCATCAATTTTTTCGTTCAGTGTGAAAGTGTGACTTTGAATTCCCAGGAACCTTTTTTCACGGTACACGCTTTTTTGAGGGGGGATTCACTTTTTGAAAATCAATCCGTCCAAGGGATACACTCTTGGTCAAACATACTGAAAGCACTATTATCTCATTAATAAATGTTCAACAATGTATGGTCCCTCCATATATGTACAGGGGTTTCACTAGAATTTCTCATCATAGGCTAAATAAATGAAAACAGGCACAATTAATTAAAATCATGAATTTAACATGGCAAAGTTGAAAAGTCCCTTAAAACAACAGGCGATTTTGTGAAAACAACCAGTGAAAATCGCCTGTTGCCTGCTGATAATGGAATAGTCCTATAGTAACACAGCTGACTGGTTAGGAAAAATTCTATCTCAGTTTAATGAAAAATAACAAAGAAAAAATTTTGAGAGGTATTTCAGAACTTTTTTGTTACAATTTGAACATTTGACTGAAGAACAATAATTACCCTTTGGTGTTAGAACACAGAAGATAAAGGATCTCATGTAAATTCTAAAAAAATTTCAATTGAACTCGTCTTGTCACAGTCATTCTTATGTTATCATATATCTAGAGGATCCGATGGTTTTCAACTTTTGGAATGATTTGGGACAGTCTCACAGTGACTCGACCACTGACTGATAATATACATAATTCAAAATAAGTCAGACTCGACCAAAACATTTAAGTGACAACTGTCTGTTTATAATTGCGTTTATTAATAAAATACGTTTGGTGAACATGTGTTTGTTTTATCATATTTTGGTCGATAATGTTTGGTCAAAGGAATTTGAGGAAATTTTGATTCAATGATGTTTTGATAGATAGAAACTTGTTGTTAAGTCCCAGGAGAACTGTTTCTTGACAGATATAAAGATCATCATTAAATCAGGATCATTGTTAATTAATGATCACTTCATTATGATAGCCTTATTAGATTAATAAAAAAACGCTTTGTCATTTTGGTATGTAAAATGCCATAACTGTTGATATTACGTCCCCAGTGGGACTCTGCCCTGTCAACCCTCACGCATTAGGCGTGATTGTCAAGCATTTGCTGGAAAAATTGAAAGCACACATCAGTTTTGCATGTATCATAAAATGTCACGCAAATCACGCATTATGTTGATATTTAAAAAGAATTGTTCTTTATAAAATGCTGACACAGTGAAAAACCGAACACCGAAAAAAAGCGGATGCATTCCGTTCAGACTTTTCACGTGAATTACGTATATGTCACGCATTTGGTTTGAAATATGTGTATATGTCACGTATTTGCTTCAAAATATTTTGTACCCACCCCCCTGGTTTGTGATAAAATTGACATCCATTTCACCTTCTTGGCTTCGCTTTTTGCACAAACTGTTTTAAAGTATAGCTACTTTGCATTTACATTGATTTACAGCATCTCAAAATCACTTGCTTTTCCAGGCAAGGTTTAATTTAACCATTTTGGAAAATCAAGAAATGATTATGTTTTTTGATGTTATGAATTGTACACTCATCTGTCTATCTGTCTGTCAATTATATTTGAAATTTTAATTTGAAAATTGCCATTTTTATTAACCAGTGCAACATTTTGTGAGAAATCAGTTTTTTCGTGAATCCTTGTGGTTCTATTTTCTATCAATTTACATTATTGGTCGAAGCTCTTTGCCTAGTTTTGGAGAAATCAGTTTTTATGACGTCACCACAAGATACCATTCATATACCAGAATCTCTTTGTAAATAAATGGTGACTTGTCTCTGTAGCAATGGAATGCTACTGTGAACTCAGTTGGATCACCAAGTGAGTATGAGTAAGTCTGGGTTACAAAGACACTCACTCATGCATCACTGATCAGTCTCTCATTGATCAGTCTCCATCCAACTTGTGTTTGAGTGAGTATATGTGATGCGCATTACTCATCATGATTGACCATGACATCCCATTTCTTCTCAGCCTTGAGATGTCTCTGGTGAAACAGAAAGATGCTTATCAGAATGTATATTGCTTGCATACTAAGCCTTTCATAAGTTGCATTTGCTCGACTTTCCTTCTTAAAAGAGAGCTTCGTCTTCACTCTTTCAGTTTACAATAAATCTCTGCGAGGTAGGTTTGAAATGATTTATGACCCGGGCTGTCACGGGCATCGTTTGTGAAGTGTAGGGCTACTAAACTGTAACATAGTCTTTATAAGGCAGAGGGTAGTTTGTTACCAGACTCTGTGCACAGGGTAGCTTTTCAATCAATGTATAGAATAAATTCTATATTCAGTTTGGAATAGTTGGACAGCTGTCTACCTGCTTGCCTACTTCATACTTATTATTTACCTGGGTGTTGTTAAAGGAATATTCCTTGCCAGACCCGTTCTCTCTTGATATGGTAGCTATAATCATATGTATAGTTTCCATATTTACCAAAACATGGGAAAATGTTTTAATATGGTCAATATTGATCATTTAAAAATCGAGTGCTTATTTCCAGTGAGCTGCCATCTTTTAAGATTTCTTGCAGGAAGTGATGTCATCAACTCTCAACTTCTATAACCTTGCCCATAACAGTACAGGAAAGTAGCACAAAATCATTTCTAGACAAGTGATCATAACTTTCTGTG